TATAATTGAAAATTGCTAAGAGAGTAGATCTTAAGTGTTCTCATCACAAAAAATGATAAGTATGTGAGGTATGCATGTTATTTCACTTGATTTAGCCAATCTACAATGTATCCATATTTTAAAGCATCATGCTATACACCATAAATATACAGTCATGTATTACCTGACAACTACATTCTGAGAAATGCATCATCGGGTGATTTAGCCATTGTCTAGCGTCATAGAGTATCCTTACATAAATCTAGATGGTATAACCTACTACACACCTGGGCTGTACGGTATGGCCTATGGCTCCTAGGCTACAAACCTGTACAGCAGGTTACTGTACTAGAGTTGCAGGGTTTTGTCACCTCTTAGCACAGACTGACTCAGACCCATTTATGAAGGATGGCTGTCACCAGCAGTTTCTCCTGTGAGCATCAGGAAACTGAGTTGAGTTGGTTTTTCAGGGTAGGGACTGTATTTGATAAGAATTTTCTAGCAAGGGTGATTTTAAAGTTACTGTTAAAAGCTCAGTACCTGGCCCTGATAGATTTTAAACTTGCCTGAGGTGTGGCCTGAGCTGTGGGGAGGGCAGAGACTTGCTGAGAGAGGACAGGTGTGGTTGGCAGGAGCATGGCATTTATGGGATGTGAGCTGTCATGCCTGAGGTTAGCAGTCATGACTTTTGAGACTCCCAGGAATTTTCTTTCTTTTTCTTTTTTCTTTTTTTGAGTTAGAGTCTCATTCCGTCATCCAGGCTAGAGTGCCATGGCACACTCATGGCCACCCCAGCGTTGACCTGCTGGGCTACGGCAATCTTTTCACCTCAGCCTTCCACGTAGCCTGAACTTCAGGTGCACACTACCACGCCCAGCTAATTTTTTAATTTATTGTAGAGATGAGGTCTCGCCAAATTGCCCAGGCTGTTCTTGAACCCGTGGGCTCAGGCAATCCCCTCACCTCGGCCTCCCAAAGTGTTGGGATTATAGGCTTAAACCATCATGCCCAGCCATGACTTCTTTCTTTGTGAGATGCCCCAGCAGCCTGGGCTGACTCTGCAGAGCCTTGGGTGCAATAGTGAGGCGGGGAGCACAGTCCTGACTTCAGGGACCCTCTTCCCTCTCCTGGCTGGTGACAGCATCCTCTCTGAGTCTCAGCTGCTTTGTCCCTAAAACGGGAATAAGACCCCACACTGAGGCACTGGGCAGACCACCTTCCAAGCTGTGGTGCCCCTCCAACAGTGAGGGAGGTGGGAAGTCCTTCCCCTGAGGGCAGGAACTGTGAGTACAGTGTGGAGACACTGTGAGTGCATTTGGGGAAAGCACTCCGTGAGTGCGATGAGCTCCTCCTCCTACCTGCTGAACAAGATTGTCCTGAATACCAACCTGGGTGCACGCCTTGTGCTACACCTGGCCCTACCTTTATAAGTGATAGCCGTTATTTATTATCTTGTAAATCTGGAATTCTTCCTGCTCTTTTTATAGTATTTATGGGTATTTTCTCCTGCGTCACATTTCTTTAAGCATGCCCAGTTTTGTTCCAGCTGAAAGCCCAGTTCTAGAAATAACAACTTATTTTAGGGGAATCATTACTCGCACCTCTCAGTTTTCCCTCAAGGACACTGTGGGATGCCAGATTTGTCTTTCAGAACATTCCTGTAGGAAGGTTGGCATGGAGGGCGTTTTGTTTTTGTTGTGTCGTCACTGAGAGCACCACATTTCCCCAGCTAGATTTCTTCCTGAAGCTGTTGTTGCAGAGGCTTGCTAGGGGTCTTCTGAAGGTTGTCTGTTGCACCAGCTCCTTGTCAACATATGTGGAACCAAGTTTCTCAAGTCCTGTCCCCACCCATTGCTCCACGAGCCCAGTAGCACCTCTCAAACATGAGCTTGCACCAGAATCACCTGTTCAGATACTTAGAGTCAAAATATCTCCCTACAAGCTGTTTATTCATCACAGAGGGAAAAATCAGAACCAGCCATTGAAGACAACTGGTAGACACACCACCCTAACCAGATGACCAGAGTTTATATCACCTATAATGGGAAATATCCTTCAACCTCCTATACCTCCTGCTGTGATAGCCTGAGAAGAGTGCAAACTTGCATTTGTGGTGTTTTTGCCAAAAGTGCATAATCAGAATTTAATCATGAAGAAACAACCAATGGACCCAATCTGAGAGACCATCTACAAATAACTGGCTAGTGTTCTTAAAATATATCAAGGTCATGAAAAATAAAGACAGATGGAGAAACTGCCCCAGATTGGAGGAAGCTAGGAGACGTGGCAACTAAATGCTCTGTGGGGTCCTGGATGGGATTCTGGACCAGAAAATAACTTTTATGGACAATTGACGAAATGTGAATATATATGTATAGATTGTAGAGTAGTTAATAGTATTGTATCTCCAAGCTTGGTGGCTCAGCCTATAATCCCAGCACTTTGGGAGACTGAGGTGAGGGGAGCCCACGGGTTTGAGACCTCATCTCTACAATAAATAAAAACTCGCACCTGTAGTTCTGTCTACTTGGAAGGCTGAGGCAGAAGGATCGCTGGAGCCTAGCAGGTCGATGCTGGGGTGGCCGTAAGTGTGCCACTGCACTCCAGCCTGGGCAACAGAGTGAGACTTCAACTCAAAAAAAAAAAAATAGTATTGTATCATCATTAGCTTCCTGATTCTGATAATTATACTATGTTTCATAAGATGTTAACTTTGGGGGAAGTTGGGTGGAGGGTTCCCCCATCTTTTCCACGCCAGGGTGTAGAGAAAAGTACTCAGGTTTGGGAACAGGCAAGGCCTGGACTGGGTTCAAGTCTTGCTTCTGATGACTCTTCACTGAGTGACACAGGGCATGTCCCATTACCTTTCTGAGCCTCCATTTCCTCATCTGAAAACAGCGATAAACTTCCTGTGTCTTGTTGTTATTGTGATGATAGAGGAGATGAAATTCATAGTAGGTGACATTCCTCTCCTCCTTACCCTCTTCCCGTGTTGTGAACCATTGACTTGGCTTTCCCACCTTCCAGCCTTTCCCCTGACCTGTCTTTTATTTCTGCCAGCCCCTACCGTGTACCCTCTTGGTTTGTATTTCCAGAAAACTGCAGGTGCATCTCCTCTTAAGTTCTAAAAGTTGAATTGAGAAACTCTCCAGATTAGAAACTGCCTCTGGTTCTTGCTGGATGAAACCTGAGACAGGATTGGGCTCTATATCCTGCCTTGGCTGTCTTTTGCCAGTTCTGACTTCCTTTAGACTTTTCAGGATTCTCTCTATCTCTCTCTCTTTTTTTTTTGAGTCAGAGTCTCACTCTGTCACCCAGGCTAGAGTGCAGTGGCACAATCCTGGCTCACCACATTCTTGAACCCTGGGCTCAGACAGTCCTTCCACTTCAGTATCCCAAGTAACTGGGACTACAGATGCACCACCATGCCTGACTAATTCTTGGTAGAGTTGAGGTCTTGCTATTTTGCCCAGTATGAAATGCTAACCCCAAATATAAGAGGGCTTGTGTATAATGTCCTTTACCTATTCCAAAGAAATCACCCAGAGGTCCAGCAGGAAAAGACATTGGCTTATTAAAGCTTATGGAAGACACCAGTGATGTCCAATCAGTGAAGAAAGAATCCCACCTCAGGACAGTACAGCAAGCAGTTTTATAATCAAGCAAGTTAATTATTCAAATTGCTATACGGTGTTTACAATTACATTGAGTAAGAGTGATGCCTACATTGGTCTCAATGCTGCTTGATCACCTGCACCCCATGACTTATTACTGGGAAAATGCTTATCCTTCAGAGACCAGCCTTGGCTAAAGGCAGCTCCCAGAAGGATGGGGAAGAAAGAAGCCAGATATAAAGGGAAAATAGTCTATGTCTGGACAATACCTCACATGCAGGCTGATCTCAGACTGTTGGGCTCAAGCCATCCTCTCTCCTCAACCTCGCAAAGTGCTAGGATTACAGGTATGAGCCACCACACCCAACCAATTCTCAGGATTCTCTTTCAAAGAGTTCTAGGTCCTTATAACTCAAAGTTTGGTCTGAGGCCAGCAACATCAGCATCACCTGAGAGCTTGTGAGAAACGCAGAATCTTAAGCCCTAGCCCAGACCCATGGACTCAGGATCTGCATGTTTCCGAGATCCCCAAATGATTCATGATTCAAATTTGAGACAATCTCTACTGGAGAGCTTGATATCGAAGTTGATTCCCAGCTGAGAGAACAGTTCACCATCTCGTCATGCACCTCCGCAGTGGAGGACTGAGGAGTGTGAACATGGTTAGAAAGGTCTGCAGGACACACGTTCCAGGCCAGGCCCTTGTGCGGAATCCCCCGCCCTGGCACTTCGGAGGCCTGAGAACCTCCTGCTGGCAGCCTGGTATTTCAGCCGGGGCTTCTGCATGGGGTTACCTGGCCAGGGTCTTGCCTGGGAGGGGCCGTCCATTTTCTACGGAGACTTGAGTTCCTCATCCTGTCTTCCAGCCTGTGCCAACCACACCTGAAGCCTGGTTCTGAGGGTGATGGGCCTGGCATTCAGGCACTGCAAGGGTATTCCCGGGGAAATGAACAACACAGATTGCTTTTAAATGATACAGGCTTTGTGGCAAGACCTAATAACTCAACTTGACTCGGGTGCTGAATAGGCTGTTTTTTAAACAGAGCTAACATTTCTTGGATGACTCTGTGTGCCTGCGAACTGAACCCTGACTTTATGTGGCTTGTGTTTAATCTTCACTATGACCCTACAAGGTGGAATTCTCACTAACCCCATTTTATAGCCCTGAACACCAGGCCTTAGAGAGGTCCAAGGTCGTGTAGCTTGTATGTGGAGCTGGGATTTGAACCCAGAATTCTCCTGAGTTTAAAGCCTAGCCCTTGAACCCTTTGCTATACTGATCCTAGTTCCCTCCTGATATCTGAAGGAAGATGGGCAAACCAGTGCATTCTCATGGCAACATGGAGGTGATGGCCTGCAGGTTCTCTCCTGTGTCTTTGTGTTTGTGCTGGATTAACCACCTGCCACATGGGGCTGGACATGCTGGTGGTCATTCTTGGCATGTTGGGGACAACTGTTGGACTCTGGGTTTACATCCTGGTTTCCAAAGAGGTAAGAGTGTCAAGCCTGAAGACCTGAGGACAGACCACTCTCTTTTTGTATGGTAAATGGGGCTCATCATGGTGCAACTCTTAGTGTCAAGGCTGGGACTGGTGGTGGCTTTGAAACGTGGTCATTTCAGCTGAGCCCAGGACAGTCGTGGAGTGGGTCACACACAAAGAGTAAGTGGCTCAGGAAAGCTCCGCTGGTCGTGCACCATACCATGCAGTCAGCATTCCTGTTCTGTGGTCATTTTCCTTCCTTTCCTATTCCTTTCTAACAGATGAGCAGGGCTAAGTGGGAAACCACCAGAAACTCTAAATTAATACCTAGCCAGTTTCGTTTATCCTTTTCTTCCCCAGGACTCAAGTGCAGGAGAGGCTGGTGTTTTTAAAACCTGGTTCTCTTTTAGACTCAACTGAAAGGTAATTAGTTGTTATGGAAAGACTATGTTGTCATTTTAAAAAGCTGATTTGTGGGTGTAATCATTATCTATGGTGGGATAGGAACACTTCAGTAAAAATAGACCCAGACCCTCATTGGCAGGAGCTCAAAGAAACCAGCCAATTGGTATAATGAAAATTAGGCAGTGGGCCAAAATTTGCCACTCTCTCACTTTTTAATTAGAAAAAGTGTCGTAAAAAGAATGCATTTTACTGTGAAAATTTAGATGATTCAGAAAAGCAATAAAGAAAAATCACCCAGAATATTGCCACTTGGAATAGCTACTCTTAGTGCCTCTGCAAATACACTTCCGATCTCTATTTGCTGTGCTCATGAATAAATATTTATTTGCACAAAGTTGAGATCACACTGATGTAGTTTTACAAACCACATTTTTACTTAATATTTCAGTCTTTCCCTATGTCATTAAATGGCCTTTTAAGTAGTGTTTAAAATGGCCTCATAGGATGAAAGAATCATAATCTAAGAGCCCACAATGAGGAGGAGGGGGAGGGGAGACAGAAAGGAGGGGTGGAAAGAGGAGTAACTTTTGTACAGGACTTGAGGTAAGCCAGGCACTGTGCTAAGTTTTACATATGAATTCACAGAACCCTGTGAAATTGGCACTGTTGCTATTCCCATTTAATCTTTGTTGTTTGACATTTATAGTTTTGTTTTAAATAGATATGTATTTTAAACAGCTCTGCAATAAACATCTTTATGAACACCCTTCTGTCCCATTGGTTGACATTGGGTCAAGGGATATGCACATTTTGAAGCTTTGATATGTGTGCCCGACTGTCCTATAGAATGAACCCCCACTGTCTCTCGGTTCCTCTTCCCTTTTGCTTGCTCTGTAGGTGACCTTGTGTGGTGGCCTGCAGGGTGAGAGAGAGGGTGACTCTGGGGTCTGCTGAAAGTGGAAGCTTGTGACTCAAGGGTCTGGAGAAGGAGCAGGTGTTTAGTCCTTGGATTCTCCAGGACAGCTTATCTGGTTAACTACAGTATCATGGTGCAGTGTCTCCCAGTTAGACTGAAAATTCCTTGTGAGCAAGAACCATTTCCCACGTGCCTCCTCGTAGCTTAGTGTCGTACACAGGGTACTTGTTCTGCGGACATTTGCTGATTTGGCAGAGAAGAGGAAAACAGAAAACAATATTAGTAATATGGGTGGATTTATTCATGGCTGAAACAGATTTTGGAGGAGGTGAAATCTGTCCCCCAAGTCAAACAAACCCCTTTGCAGGAAGCCTGTTGGGTTGTGTGGGTATGGGTCGTTTGCCCACCTAAGTGAGACACTGACCTTGCCTCAAGGTGTCCCTGTGTGATTCAGGGCTGTCTACCTTCCGGATTCTTTGCCTCTGAAACAGACTAGGAGGATCATAGCAGAGTGAAGTCTTCAGGTGCCCCAAGCCTGGCAGACAGAAAGGGCTCTCCTGGACAGCTGCTTTCCTGGGTGTGCTGCCTTCCCCTACACATTCTGGAGGGCCTCCCTGGCCTTTCTGATGTGGCTAGAAATTACTGTGTGACAGTGGTTTTTGTTTTGTTTTTTAGTCAGGGTCTCACTCTGTCACCCAGGCTGGAGTGTAGTAGTACAATCATAGCCTACCGCAGCCTCAAGCTCCTGGGCTCAGGCAGTCCTTCCACCTCAGCCTCCTGAGTAGCTGGGACTACAGATGAGCGGCACCATGTCCCTCTAACTTTTTAATTTTTCTGTAGAGACAAGATCTCACTATGTTGCCTGGGCTGGTCTCGAACTCCTGGGCTCAAGCGATTTCTCCGAGCTTGGCCTCCCAAATGCTGGAATTATAGACGTGAGCCACAGTGCCTGGCCTGACAGTGGTTTTTAAAAAAGAACCTTGGGACAGTGTGGTATATGTCTGTTGAGGATTTCCTGGGTAGCAGATCCTGTGCTCGATGCTGGAGATATAGAGACAAATACATTGTGGCCTCTGCTTTCTAGGAACTGGAGGGAAGACCGTCATGAAATCCTTATAAGACAGGGTTAAAAATTATTTCTATTCCCCAACACTGACCTGTACATCCAACTCATCCCCTCATCCCCAGCCCCCAGCCAGCGCTCAAGGAGGTGTGAGATGGGCAGGGAGGAGGACCAGAAGCTGATAGAGACAACATAACACACATCACACATTTCATCAGGGACAAAAACCAAGGATGAGGTTCTGGAGGTGGCCGTGGTATGAGCTTTTCGTCACGCACTCACTTCTGTATTGTTGGGATTTCTTCACAATGGGAATGTAGTCATGTGTTATTTATATAAATAAAATAATTGGAAAGACAAACGATATGAGAAAATAATTAGTCTTTGTTTCGAGACACATCCTTTATCAAAGCTGAAGCATATCAAAGTCATTGCAACTTGAATACTTTGCGATGAGGAAGACATGGCTCATATTTTACATGAGAGGAGGGAGTGACCTGTAAAATATTTCTGGCCTCTCTGGAGTTTTGCAAGCGTTTTGTGTTTCCTTGCCCATGCAGCCCCCAGGTATGGGGTCCCAACACTGTGCTGTGCAGGGTGAAAGAATGACCCTAAGTGTGATCTGGAAAACTGAGCCATTTGAAAGCATACAGTGTGGTTTTTTTTTTGCCTGAAATGAAGTGGCATTTGATTTTTAATTATGTATTTAACTCTTGGAAATGGTAAGAAATTCCCCAAATGAGTGGGGGATGGGGAGTGAGTAGCAACTGTAAACCAGATCTCTGGCTATTTTTAAAGTTTTAGTGCCTCAGCAAATTGGTGTTTTCTGCAAAGAGAGGACAAAGGTAGAAAGAGGTGGCACAGACAAAACCCCATAGAAACCCTCTCTCTCGGACTCTGGGGTAATGGGGCCACTGACCTAAATAAGGGCAGGAATCTGCCGAGTACAATGAGCTCAGGCTGCCAGGACAGACTGAATCGAGGCTGAATTGAGGCCGCTATGTCTTCCATTCACACACCGGTCCTGTGCGCATTCAGACCCCAGACGACATGCAGGCGCTGTCCCATGCCAGCCAGACCGCCCCAGAACCGCCCACAGAAGGTTTTCTGGCTCCAGAAGTCTGCTTGAAGGTTGAGTGAGCTAAATCCCTGACCAGAGACAGTGGCTAAGAAATAGGATTTTATCATAAGAATCCCAAGGAATGAGTGTATCTCCTTGGGCTCTGGTGTTAGGTCAGGAGAGAACAGTTCTTGATGGAACAGCTACCGTGGTGCTGTCTAGCCGAGATGCAGTGTGGGCCACATATGCAGTTTTAAATTTTCTAGTAGCACATTTTAAAAGGGTAAGAAGAAATAGGTGACATTGATTTTAATATTTTTATCTAACCCAGTATGTATGTTAACATTTATGCACATAATCAAATTAAAATTGTTAAGGAAATGTTTTACATTCTTTTCATGTACTCTTCGAAATCTAATGTACATTTTACCCTTAACAGCACATCTCAGTTGGACCCGCCACATTTCAGGTACCTAGTAGCCATGTGTGACTTGTGGCTGCCATATGGGACAGCAGCCCTGGAAGTCACATCACTCACTTATAGAGTGAAGTTGGAAAGCTGCAGGAATGCTGTCTGTACCCCTGGGATCATTGCATCTGATGTAGGGTCCTCCTAGCATTCATCTGTCATTTAAAAAAAAAAACAACTTTCTTTTTTTTTTTTTTTTTTTTTTACAGACTTACCAATTTTACTTTTCTTTAAAAAAAAAAAAGTGGGGGGAGGTGGTCTTTTGACCTTGTGCAGTGGCTCATGCTTCTAATCCTAGCACTTTGGGAGGCTGAGGCAGAAGATATGCTTGAGCCCAGGAGTTCAAGACCAGCCTGGACAACATAGCAAGACCTCATCTCTACAAAAAATAAAAAGTCGTGTATGGTGGCGCATGCCTGTAGTCCCAGCTATTTGGGAAACTGAGGCAGAAGGATCTCCTGAGCCCAAGAGGTCAAGGCTGCGGTGAGCACACGGCTATGATTGTGCCTTTGCATTTCGCCTGAACAAGAGAGTGAGACTCTGATGTTTCCCTCTGCATCAAAACTCTGTGAGGGAGGCAGGCAGGTACCATTTCTTTGGCAAAAATCGATTGAGCATATCTACTGAGTACTGCGCTCTGATTCACATACACCTGGGAGTTCAGATTCTAGTGCAAGAGAAAAACAAATCATTGTGTCAGCGTGGTTGGAAGGGCAGTGGGAATCTGAGTGGAGCTGTGGAAATACATGAGAAACACCTTAATCCGCCCAAGATGTCAGGGAGGTACTTCAGAAAAAGGACATTTGAGTAGGAAGATGAAGAGGTGGAGCCACTGGCAGGCAGATAAGTGGGGGTGGAAGGGAGGCCATACATCCTGAACGTAGTCCATTTGGGTTAGAACTTCTGAAACTGGTATGTCTGTTTTATAGCCCAGACAGGTTAGGCCTGCTAGAGATCCCAGGCATACACAGGAGAGGGGTCTGGAGCTCAGGAGTTGGGCTGGGCACACCCTTCATCTGGAAAAGATGGTTTCTTGTGCAAGATCTTTAGGAAGGGGGTGGGTATAGGAGAGATCCCAGTCCTGGAATCTGTTGGGTGACCTTAATCCCAGGGTTCGTTCCAGCCTTTATTTTTGGTTTTGAAATTTGGAGAATATTTTGCATACAGTTCTGTGTCATCATGTTAAAAATTGAGTAAGGTTGTGTGCTTGAAGTGCCATTTGTAGTGTTTCCATTGTAGTAACCTCTGGAGTCTTTGGGGAGAAATCACCAATTCTTCGATGTTTTGAACCCCAGATGAACTGGCTGCCTTTCTGGAATCTCAGTGCAGGAAGCTTTAATGCAGACAAAGGAGCTAGGTTCTTGCTTTTGACCACACAAGGCTCCTGGCCACCACTAGGACAGAACAGAGACAGTACGCGTCTGAGGCCTGCTGCCCCCCATGAACGGTGCGCTCAGCGGTTTTTATTTTTATCACATCAGCGTGTTCCTCCTTTTGAAGTGTGAATCCTAGTGACCCGAATAAGCTGTCTGCCTGGGCCTGGGCCAAAAGGACCAGGTTACCCAAGTTCAGCAGCGACCCTGGGCTGGGGTGGCAGGGATGCCGCTTCCCGCGTGACTAGATGAGGTGGGGTGGCTCACCCGGGCCGAGAGCACAGGCAGCCTGCCAGACTGATAAGTCCTCAAACCAGGAAGACTTCATGCTAAAAAGCAACTGGGGCCTATAGCACCCCCTCCTTCATCCCCTCCACAGCAGCCCTTCAAAGAGAGTAGGCAAAGTTTGCACAGTTTAGATGTTAATATTTAGAAATGCAAAATTAAGCATTTCAGTGTTTGACTGTAGACAGAATTCAGGCCCAGTGGCTTTGACATCCATGCGTGTGAGGCTCTGCTGAGATTTTATCGTTCTGATGCATCAGAACAGTATAGTGGAGGGTGGTTTAAGGCTCAGTGGTTGGGCATCAGGGTGTGCTCTTTTCCTGGAATTGAATGGTCAGCAGGGGCTGCCTGGTGCCCATAGGGGGATGTGGGCGGCACAAGTATGGTAGAGTTTGAGAAGCAGAAAGGCAGAAGGCCTGCCCCATCCCTCTGCTGTCTGATGCGTGAGACTCACTTGATTTGGAGGGAAGAGAAAGAATATTTGTGCACCCCCTGCACTGTCCCAGGAGCTGTATTAAGTACTTTTCCTCTGCGGTCTCAGGAGTTCCACATAACTGTTCTGTGGGCGCATTCTCGTTAGAACTAGGCCCTGATTCACATACAACTCCTGCATCCTTGGAGCTCTCCAGTAGCATCAGCATCACCTGAGAACTGGTCAGAAATGCTCTCAGGCCCACCCATGGTCTACAGAATGAGGACTCAGATGGGGCCCAGCAGCCTGTGGTCTAACAAACTCCCCAGGTGATCCGGATGCACGCGAATGCTTGGGATCCTCTGCTGGAGAGGTTAAGAGCACAGATCTGGAACTAGTGTGGGCTCAGGTCTCAGGAGTTTGGCCTTGAACAAGTTGGGCAATTGTGCTGTGCCTCAGTGATCTCATCTGTAGATTGGGGATAACAGCAGTACTTATCTTGCAGGGTTGTGTGGGATTACATTAAGTAACTGATGTTAAAGCTAGCAACCAGACTGGGCATATGCTAAGCAATACCGTAGGTGCTTGCGCTAACTCACTTGGGGTCAACCAGCTTTGATCCCAGGTCTGTTTAACTTCAAGGCTGTTTATTCATTTTATTGTCCTACTGTCTTTTAGCAACCTAATTCAGTTATCTGTTAAGACATCTGATTCTGAAAAAAAAATAATAATAAGTATGCTACCTTGTAGGTCAGGACTAGCAAGGAGGTTTTCTTCTCATCGCCAGTGTTGTTTCTGTAGAAGGGCTACCTGTAGCCCTGTAAGGAGTTGTTTAGGGCTATGCCTGAGTGGGACATGTATGTGCCGTCATTGATTAGAGATGTCTGCCATGGGTGCACAGGAGTGTAGCGTGTTCTCCCCTCCTGCTATTGGTTGTTGTCAGTCAACTTAGTGTAGATTTCGGATCCTTACTTATTACTGGGTTTTAATTCAAGACTGAGAGTCCCCATATATCATACCATAGACCAGAGGTGTCATGCGGCCTACACACATTTGGGGCCACATGTAGCAGGAGGTTGCATGTAGCTTGTGGATGGCACTTGACCTAGTAATTAATGTGCTTCTTGGCCTGGTTTCATCCCTTTTGGGACTTGGGGATGACTGTGGTCACAGGAAGGGCTGACTGAGGATCTGGAAGTTGAGAACCCATCTCCTTGTGACTAACAGGAGCTTTGAGCCCCTTTTGCAGATACAGAAACTAAGACTCAAAAAAGTCAAGCATTAATTTCCAGCTCATTGTCACCAGCCACAGTCCCAGTGGGCAAAGCTCTTAGAGGATCATTTTGTGGCATTTCATTTCCATATGCATCCTCTGGAACTGGAGTAGGAACAAGACTGGATTTGCTTCTGAGTGCTATCTCCCTTTGTTTCCCATCTTTATCAGTTCTGCTTATGTGACTAGAGGCCCATCCCAGGCCGCCCTGCCTCTGTATTCTGAAACCTATCTTTTTTCTTTTCTCAGAAGGCACCGGTCCTGGTGCTCCTATCCCAACTGGGTTTTGGAAAGGAGCCACCACGTTTGCTGTGTATCTGTCTTTTTGGGTGGGGTGAAGCCCTTGCTAATAACAAAAGGTCCCTTTGCCCTGTTTACCTTCTCCATCGCTCCTAGACTGGAGGAATAATTGTCGTCTCCTGTCATCGTAAGTCTATCTTAGCACAGTGTCACCACCCCTACTCACCCAGTATTAGCATCAACAACACACTGTTTCTGATCACATATTCAGGTTCCTTTCCTTTTACCTTCTTTCTTTTGTGGCCAAATCATTGTGATTGCATGTGGTTCCCGTTAAATTGTGTCTAGTAACCAGCATGTTCATGACCCTCCTTCCCCTGCCATTTTGTTCCATCTTCTCTCTGTCCTCTCATGTTAACGGGCATCATATTTAAATACATGGCAGTGGGTGGAGCTTTTCTTCATGGCTCTCAGCCTGGGAAGTTGGTGAAATTGCCTGCTATGGCTTTTGGGGTCCCGTTTGCCCAGTTGTCCCCCACTCTCCTGGTCAGGGGGCCTCCTAAGTGAAGCCACACATCTGTTCAGTCCTACTTATGGTCAGGACAGGTGTCTCCCACCCAAGAAGCATTGCTTCCAGCAGTACAGAAGCTCTGAGACTTCCAGAAGAAGTTCTGAAGGTAGTTTGCCCTTCGAGTGCCTGAGATACTAACCATGGGGACATCCTTGGGAGTCTCTCTGGGGTCTTGTAGGGAGGACAACACCCCTCTAACTTGTATGTGCCCCACCCCAATCACCAGTTCTCTGCAGACAGTGTTAGAGATGCCATTTAGAAACTTCACTTGGGCTCTATTACTATCCAGCGGGGCTGAGAGGATCACTGTTACACTCCTCCCACAGCAGAAGGAATTAGGTCCTGACAGGCTTGATCAACCAGCCTCCTCACGAAGTGGGCTCCTAGAGGCTCACAGAGCCCAATCCAATATACCTGGACAATCCCTGTCAGTGTGAGGGTCTCTCTGGGGGA